TATACGCGTGGGAAAAGAGAAACGAGTGTGCATATATGCGCGATAAATGGCGAAAATAATAGTGTTCGTGACATATATGCAAATTGATATCAGTCACGTACAAAAAATAGTTTGTCAGCGAACGCACCTCCGCATACGTTGCGAACGCTCCTTTGGCACAGACTCAGCGTCTTCGCGTGACATTTCACTACCCCTGTACGGCGCACATGACCCCAGCAATAAGCTTTAGAACCAGACTGTGTAAGAGACAGCGGAACGTACCTTCGAACTACAGGTCGAGGTTGAGGAGCCATGGACACGAGAATGGCGAGCAAAGGTGCACGAACGGAAGACGCCACCTATATATACTCAACGCTCCAGAACGATAATAGATTAAAAAAATCAGGCGCGGACAAGATTTGCGGAAGGGGATCCATAGCGTGTGATTGTGCGATCGCCGCCCGAATTCTGGATCTCGGGCACCGGACTGAGACAGCAGGCCGAACCTCGCGCACCGTCGGAAGCAGGAGTCGATCGAGGCGACGGCGGTAAAGTCGACAAAGTCGACACATGAGCGTCAATTACGATTAGGCACCGGAGTCTCGTTTCCGAAGAGCCGTAAGCGCGGCAGAACTTCAGAAAAGCCCGACGAGTCTCGTACACTGGAGAGTGAAGGTTTACGCCCCCCTCCCCCTCTACTCGCCCAACTTAGCAATGTCGTCTGATTCGCTGGTACTCGACTACTATCGTGACAGAGATGCTAAAGCGGGCATCCACAACGCCATCAACAGCTTCCTCGCCCTCGGAGGCGATCATCATGACCTCGGACGCTACGAATCCGTGAGCGGATATTGTCTCCTGCAAGCGGTTTCAAGTGCTAACCGCCGTGCTCATGTAGGAAGAAGTCCTGATGCAAGAGACTGTCGTGATAAAGGACGACCGCGGCGTCGGCTACCTGGCCAGGAAGGATATGGACGGAGTGGAGGCGATGATTTCCATGACCGCCGTGCTCGCGGAATGTAACCTCCCGCCATACCGGGATGCAAAGTCGTAAGTCATATGTGAGTACAAGCGAAGACCCGCGGTATTGACAGACGTCTAGCTTGTTCCAATCTCGCCGAGGAAAGAAGGACATTCCCGTCAACCGCGTATCACTTGCCTGGTATGGACATCCCTCGTACGACAAGGCTCGCGTAGGCCTCGAGAACATACGCACGCAGTTTTCTCTCAAATACGATACGCTGGACAAGATCAACGACAACGTAGTCGCGGGAGAGCCCGCACTAACGTCTGAGAATCGCGTCGTGTCCAAAGTCGACCAAGTGGCAAACGGCATACGAGATGCGGACTTCCCAAAGGCCATCGACCCCAACAATGTCATTCGAACGGTTCTACTGTCCTCTCCTCTCTACCGCTACGTGGAAGATAACGCGATAACTTACTCAAAGCTCAATCTCGCGGAAAAGTAAGTCGATGAAGATTGTCAGCGGACCTTTCTGACGCGACGCAGCGTTGAGGATTCTGTCGCGCAGCGATGCTCGCCTGAGGAGTTTAAGGTCGGCATGGTAGTCTGCGTCCAGGCAACGCCTTGCGTGGTCCCCACAGTCAAGCACGGCTACAAGGTCATGCTGAAGCTGAGGAACATACTCTGCGTGAGCGATGAAATCTATAAGGTGCAGCGCTGTCACTACCATTATCTCATGACTAACGCTAATCGCTATTCCAACGCAGAAGTACGTATTCGCCGTGCGCGTCAAGGACGTCAACAGCACTCCAAAGCCAGGAGGAGGGCTCAAGAGGGCGGCGACAGAGCCAGAGTGGATCCCCAAGAAGAAACGCACCTTCACTATGGGCGACGTCCGCATGAGGGATGAAAGAGCTCTGTCCGAAGAGGCCGACGAACGGGAACGTGGTCAGGACAACGAGCTTTCCACTAAAGGCGGCGAAGCGGGCAATATCGTAGATAAGTTTCGCCAACTGACAACTGGTCGCGGGGATGGGTCAGCCAGCAGCGGGGGGGGAAACAAAGAGTAGGTGCCCCGAATGTAGTATCAGAGACCGTGTATCGTCTTCGCCTGTGAATACAGTATCTACTTGACTTTACGAAGGCTATAAAAGTTACCTAGTGATCGTCATTGACTCACAACGTGAAGACAGCGCTCAACACCGACGCTGATGTGAGCTTTCTAAATGAGGAAAGTGAGTCGCACACTTTGCGAGACGCGTCTCGCAGACGACGGCGTCACGTGACCGAAACGTGTCGGGTAAAGCCCAGAGAGGCTGCACTCGTACATCAACAGGAGCCAACCTATGCCATAGCTTCTTGTGTAAGATTATGTCTAGTGCGCCACACTAGCATGTCTTTAGGGTGCTTTTTTGTGAAAACTAGGACGTAACCCGCTCAGACGGCACACCAGTGGCTAGCCTTGCGAGAGATTGCAGCGCCAGAGCATTGTGATATAAGTATTGACGCTATGTACAAAAGCTCGAGGTAGCGGACGCGTATTTAAGCCGGGGATAGTGCTGAGCACAGCCGTGGCTGCCAGCACATGGGATGAGCCGGCGCCCGGGCTTTGCCGGTCCGAGAGCTCCACGGTCATAAACAGGACTGCCACTTGGCCGTGCGCGCTCGCTCTTGATCACAACCACCACCTTGCCCCGCAAAGTCGCTGCTATGGCCTCAGAACTACCAACTAACAACTTGGACGGTCTGGAAAACGCTGAATGGCTGAAAAGCGTACCGTCAAACGCGACGCTCTTCGACACCGGGCTGTTTGAGCACTACGACTGGAGTAAGGAGGACGGGGACGAATGCATCAGGCTCTTGGAGTTTGGCGCCGGGATCGCACGCGACGCGTCGCAGCTGCACATGGCGACAACTCTGCTGAAGAAGTTTACGGTCGACCCCGCGGGTGGTATCCTCGGACCACGCTTTGCAGACTATCCGGAAGTTCAGGTCATGGCAAAAATGATAGACGAGAACATCGATTGCATTGGACGTTGCCTCGCGACGCATAACCTGGGAGTAAGCACATAATTTCTTACTTGGGGCGCTCATGCGAATGGCTGGTATTATAGATCACGAACTTCAGCCTTCGATCTATCTATGTCCTGTACTCACTTTACTCCCTACGCCAAGACGCGATGTACAACGAGACCATCCTGAGTTACGCGGGACTCCTTGTTCCAGAGGAAGACATTGGTAGGGCGCTTGAAGAAAAATCTCAATTCGCATACCAAAGCAACGACATAATCCGGAACCTGCACGCTGTCGACCAAGTTGTGGCAAAGATGTACCAGGACATGCGCGAAGACAAACTCAGTCACGAGTTGATTGTCAATGTCGGCGGGCTGTGTGTTAAGCTATGTCTATCTCATTTGAAAGCACGCAGGTACGATACACACTTTACTCGCAATATAACCTACTAAGCGAGAAACAAACAGGACGGCAGGATTTGACGATGAAAAGACGTTCTTCATCGACATGCGTCGCGACAAGTCTTATCAATCGTACGAGTTTCTGCTACGCGGCGTGACTTGGCCGGGCATTGTCGGTAGCGACGACATTTTACGAGATGTTATAACAACTGCAGAGCTACTGACGGCGCCCCGCGACGGAATTGCAGTACAGCAGCGCATTATTAGGCTGCTGTTTGGGCGAACTCAAGTCTCGAAGGCGAAATACGCACAGATGCACCACCTGATGCGCTTTGCCTTGCGCAATCCGTACGGCGTGTGGGAGGACGCGAAGAGCCAATGCTTGTGGTGTGGAAAGCATCATGCCAGCATGCGATGCACGCACTGCAAAGTGGCACTGTACTGCAACGCGTACTGTCAGAAATTGTGAGTGAACATTATCTCACGAGGTACCAATTTCTTCTGATTCAGCCCGGTCCATCAGGGACTGGCGGCGAGCACATAAACCGGCATGCGCTATGTACAGCATCGAAGTTCTCTCAACACTGAAGGATAGCTCAGAGGATGATGAGAATAAGAAAGGTGAGCGTATCTGAGCTTGATTTGTCGTTGTAAACGCGATGCTGAAAGGGCGAGGCAGAAGACGAAGACGGAGAGTCTTCGACAACGTCGTGAGCGCAAGACTCGAAGAGATAACGTATAATTGCATATTCCACGTGACCCTTTAGTGTACGGTATACGCCGACGACGACTCTTGAAATTCATACATGGACCTTCCCTCGTCTACATGCAAAAAAAAATCATCAGGCGGGAGGGTGTGTGTCTCAGAGAACTCTCGTTCAGAAAGGACCGCTGCCGACCATCAGTAAAGAGTGCGCGGAGGGAAATCTCGAGTACACACTGATAATGGAGTCTACCGGTAGTATCATGTACTCATCCGATATCCACGATGCGTCGCTCGACGCATTGTCAAAGTGTTCTCCCAACCTGCACAGAAAGGATGTATGTCAGACACAGACATTCACAGCGCGACGGTTGCGAACGTACTCTACATTGCTCACGTCACCACTGCGCAAAAGGTCGAGCAAGCGTGTCTTTGTATATATGGCGTATATCGCGCACTGCCAAGACCGTGAAAGATCGATACCATGATGACACAAGTTGATATTGACTGACCAGTCGCTCTTGAACAAGTACGTTCGTGTGGCATTCGGACTGTGCCCACACTAGTACTCCCGAGGAAATACCGTCGCCGCCTTGGGATGATTTGCCTTGGAAACCAAGCCGGACTCTTGGGATGAATCAGGTGAGCAGCCGAGGCAGGTAATCTTGACACAGCGTCAACCCACATGTCGCCCAACTTAGCAGACCGCTCGGAGGTCGGTTGAAGATTCATATCAACCCGGAAACGGAGATCGCAAGTGCCAACGCTAACTGTGAGTCAGCGGGAGCAAAGATGAGATAGCGCGGCAAAGGCACATCTGTCTCTGAATGACGGCGTGGCGAGAAAGGGAGACACCACGAAACGGCTCCTGTTCGTGCGCAGCCATCGCCAAGGTCCGAGATGGAGATGGAAACAAAGAGGGTTAGCTAAGAATCCGACGATATGCAGGTCCCGTTTAAAATACGATCTACGACAGCCCCTTTCCAAAACTGACGTCTCAGATTCGGGACAAATCCACTCGGAATGACAATTCGGAAGGAGTTGGGGTTTGAGAGGTTACAGCCGATCGCACTAATTTCTTGATTCCGCATGGCGAATGTCTCCGTCAAATGGAATATCCGATGGGCAACCCCATAGCCTTGTCATCGAAGGCAGTATTATTGGCGCAGGAAATTATCCTCGAAAACAAGAGCGTCGGGAGCAAGACGGGGAAGCAGCCGCCCGAACAGGAGCGTGAAAAATTTAGTTCCAGACGGCTTGAGAGGGGGCCGCGAGAGATGATGACGGATAGACCCACGTCCCCTTACATATATGGCTACTGAACCGTGTGCGGACAAATTACGCGAAGATCGCACGAACAGTAGTATACATACCATACAAGTGCTGCTCCTATCTCACTGCTTCGAAGCTCTTTCGACCAACGCGCGCCATGAATTCAGGTCGGCACGCAGGTTTTGCAGACATCACCTGTGGCTAATCCCGCATGATAGATCCGATATTGGCACCGTCGAACCAACGATTCGTATTATTTCCCATACAGTTCCCCGAGGTATGCAAAACCTCACTCCATTTACGTCTGACTTGCGTGCTTATATGAGCGTATGAGAGATTTGGAACATGTACAAGAAGGCGCAAGCGTCGTTTTGGACAACAGAAGAGATCAATCTTTCGAAAGACATGCACGACTGGACCAACCGGCTTAACGAAGGAGAAAAAATGTTCATATCGCACGTCCTCGCCTTCTTCGCCGCCTCCGACGGCATAGTCAATGAGAATCTCGTCGAGAGATTCTGCGCCGACGTCCAGATAGCGGAAGCTCGCTGCTTCTACGGATTCCAGATCATGATGGAGAACGTGCACTCCGAAACGTACTCCCTGCTGATCGAGACATACATACGAGACCCTGGAGAGAAGAACAGGCTTTTCACGGCAATCAACACGATGCCAACTGTAGCAGAAAAGGCAGCGTGGGCCCAAAGGTGGATCCGCGACGACGGTTCTTCATTCGCAACGCGACTTGTTGCGTTTGCAGCCGTTGAGGGAATATTCTTCTCCGGCTCTTTCGCGGCTATATTCTGGCTGAAGAAACGCGGACTTATGCCCGGACTTACCTTTTCTAACGAGCTTATAAGCCGGGACGAAGGGCTCCACACAGAGTTCGCCTGCCTGCTGTTTTCAAATCTCACCTCACGTCCGGCCGAAGACGTGGTGTCGGCAATCCTGCGAGAGGCGGTGGATATTGAAAAGCGATTCCTGTGCGGTGCGTCTCTCTTGCGAGTTCCTGCCTTTCAGTCGTTCACGCAACCTATCATATTGTAGAGGCGCTGCCAGTCGGCCTCATTGGCATAAACCGCGATATGATGTGCACGTACATCGAATACGTGACTGACAGACTGTCTTGTGCGCTCGGATACGAGAAGATGTACGGAAGTGCCAATCCGTTCGACTTCATGGAGATGATCTCGATCGAAGGCAAGACCAACTTCTTTGAGAAAAGAGTTTCAGAATACGCGAGAAGGAAGCAGGAGCCGGAAAAGGATAGGGACTCCTTGTAAGCTTCATAGCATCCAATAATGCGTCATATCAAATACTAACCGGTCAATCTTGCCACAGCTCATTAATCGAGGACTTCTAGAGTAGTTTTAAAACTCTCCGGACGGAGTGAAAAACCGTAGTCGGTACATTGTATAACGATATTAACGAAGCCTCAGAGTCTACCAACAACACAGCCGTCCGAAGTATCCTCATACGGCTTATCGTATATGACACGCGTACAAGTAGACCATTTCCAGTAAGCAGAGGGCACGCTACTTGGAGAGCGTAGCCCGTACGGCAAGTATGCGCCTCCTCGCGACTGCCAGTCCACCCTCATGCTCGCAGCGTCCTCCGTAAATCTGAACCTTCCCGGACAGTAACTCTGACGAGAGCCACAAAATCCCGAGTGCTGAGTACGGTGAACGCGGTGGAAGCCTCGATCGATATACTTCTGGAGGGGATCCGAAATTATATCCGCTTGAATGCCGGGGCGCGTGAAGAAACGCCCGCGTAGTGTAAGCCGAGGATAAAGGCAAACGATGGAGGTCTCCGAAATGTAATTCATGACCAAAGAGCCCCAAAAAGACAATATCGGCGTAGTCGCGGCGTGATCGGTCCCGACTACAATGTCAACCGAGTGCTTGACGTCCCCCGCGACGCGTGTTAGACGTGTCAAAGAGATGATGGTGTCAGGCTTGCGCTTCCAGAGCTCTTCTCCTGATGAAGTTGTCCCAGAATCCACCCTATACCCTTCCGAAGAGACCAAATGTCTCACTATCTCGTCTCTTCCAACCTCCGTGGGGAGGTACACGTCAAGATCCGATGTCGGCTGCAGAAAGCCGTCGAACTCGGAGCCAGATAGGATGACAGCAAGCGCAGTGGACCCCGACACAACACCCTCCACTCCTCCAAGCAGGAAGTAGAAGTGGCTGACGTCGCATACGAACGGAGCGGTGTGAGCATGAACGCGGGCGCGCCACTCTTCCTGAGCAACGAGATCAAACAGCGTATTGACCTTGCGACAGCGCATGAGGGATCCACCGTCAAGATGTTGAAAAACTTGTGCGACAAGCTCAAGCGTCGACAGTACTTGTTGATCCATTAATGTCAACTAAAAGATAAAGATGAAATCAGAAAACATGGGCAGCAGGATTGTGAAATTGACAGCCTGCAAACTCACGGTCGTGTGGTAAGGGTGGATCGGAGTTCGAAAACCTCCCCACGCAGTGCATTTCAAGCAAACCGTGGGCCCCTGTCTCACAACGCAGGACACGGAAACAAACGCACAATTGAGAACCCGAAACAATATATTCGCACGTGTCACAAGTGTAGTTAGATATCGAACCACCAGAGGTATATCAGCAACAGGGTACATATCGAAAGCATCCGCTACTCGTAAAATTCAAAGGCAATGTCTCGACGGGGAGAGGGCACAAACTGGAGATCGGGGACAAGAGGACGACGAGCGTTATCGCGCAGGTTGAGCCAGTCTTTCACCGGCCGATCGTACGCTGCAAGGGCGTCCAGTTCAAGGCGCTTAATGAGTGGCTCCATGCAATATTTGGGCTCCGTGAGCGCGTGCTGGACCGCCATAATGTGAAGGCCACGGCCAAAGTCAAGAATGACGTCTTGAAGATGCGCTAGGCGCTCCTCGTCATCCATGTCGGCATCGACAGCTTCACCGGCTCGAGCGACTATCCCCTGTCGCATGATCCACTCGTGCAGCCGTTCGCAAGCCTCGCGATAAAGACGGTCTCCAACAACTTCCATTGTAACCCCCAATTCGGCGGCCTCATCCTCCTCGTACGTGTCGACCGCGAGAGTTGTCTGAAACACGTAGAGCGCCAAAAGCGCGATGTAGACCTCGACATCCTCCGACAAAGAGGGCCTAGAAGCGCGAGCTGCAGACAGAGATAAGCACGCGTGTGTTAGATATATAACAGATAACTCGCCACTGGGATCGTGCCAATCGCCTTCGCAGCCGAGATCTCCATTCCACCACCATGAAGCAAGAGCCAGGAGAACGGGTCCAGATTGAAAGGAGTCATTCGTAACGACGAGGTTGGCCAAGCGGCTAACAGCGTACGACGTGACATGGTCAACCAGCGACTTGGGGGTCAAGAAATACTCCCCGTAGCATATAGAGCTGTCCAGGGTATGAACGACATGAGGTCCCGGACGCATGTATCTGGGTAGCTTAGTTGAGAACCGACATCAAGAACGGAGACTACACAGCTCACAGCGTATCTCCCGCTTCAAGAACCAATGTTTCCCAAGTGATGACGTCTTGATGAAACGAGTGCCAATCCGCACGCACGTCCTCCTTCGCGATACAATGGGAATCATTCGGGAAGGGACGGCCGTCCTTTCGACTGCCTATCGCCCACAGCTTCCGGCCAGACAGCACATGTACCGTTGTAGCAAAGCCTCCAACGTCCATATGCTGCATAGTATCGGCACCTGCCACACCTGCAAGAGCCCAATGAAGCTTGGATCTGTTGCTCTCCCACTCACCCTCCTCATATGCATCTGGTTCGTTACCGCAAACCCGATAAGCGTAAGGAAGTACGTTGAACGGTCTAATGCGAAGGGAAAAGTGAGCGTTTGGTAGCACGCGAAAGCTTGACACGTACCCGGGCTCTGCAACGTAAGGTATCTGTGAAAGGTGCTCCAGCCCCATGGGTAGATCAAGACAGTTCCAACGCGTGGCGGTATTCTGCTGACCGGCTTTAACCAGCTCAGGAATGGAGACAGATATCGTTCTGAAACCCTCAGCCTCATAAGATGCAATCGGATCTAAACATAACGTGAGTGAAAATGCAACTCCGGCTTCGCAGACGGCATACCTTGAACCTGAACGACAGTTCCATAGATAGGACGCATAGCAGAAAAAGCCTCCAAACCCCACTTCCAGAATGTATCAACACCGTTCCCCCGCACCAGAATGCTGCTTTTCTGGAAGACATCTTGTACTTGTTGCGCGCCCAGCTTCCGGAACTCTTCCGCATCAAAAACGCGGACGCTACTCGCACTAGACCCCGGCGCATAGCCGGTAACCGTATGCGTTGCAAGAAGTGAAAAGAGCGCATGCTGTAAATGTCAGCCCTGACAACGAAGGTCGCAGGCAGCAGACACTCACCGTTCGCTGACGGACCGGGGACCAAGTCTCATGGAGAAGACCCGTTGAAGTCCACGCTGGAACTGTGACGGGCAAAGGCTCATAAGGAGTGGGCTAAAAGAACAACGTAAGCAATAAACACTCTGGCCAGCGCTATTCTCAAACCTGACGAGTTTTCTTGGTGCGGTCTTTCCTCCCATTCGGCCGCGTAGAAGGAGAAGCGGCAGCCTGATGCTGTTGTTGGGCAACGTCGTCCTGAGAAGAAGCACCAAGTGGCTCAGTTCCGTGACGGCTCCGCTCCTGAGAGCCGCTGCGAGAGGAACCATGGTCAACATTCATAGGGGATGTGTTCCGCGAGCGAGCCCGAGGCCCACGGGACACGCCGTCATCTAGCGTAATATATCAGCAACGCATGATATAGGAGGAAATGACCCGCATCTAACCACCGGAAGCATGATCATCTTTGTCAAGAGGAGTTAGACGACCGGAAAATAAATCAGCATCCCGATTATCACCATCTGCATCTCCGCGGCCTGCGCCTTGGTTTGTCTTCGAAGAAGCAGCATGATCGCCCGTGCCATCTTCCTCGTCCTCCTCGTCATCTTGCTGCGTACTTGTAGGACGCGTGTGACGAGAATCAGATTTCTTCTCGGGGGAAGAAGAATGAGGCCGAGACCGGTTTTTGGGGCGAGACTGAGATTTGCGTGTCTTGCCAGGAGGAGGTGAAGCCTGACGTTTGCTGGCGGCTTTACGCTTACGATCCTTCCTCTTTCAAAAAAGAGGTCAACAAACTAGAATATTAAGACAAGAAAGGAACATACCGCGCGCTTGGCAGGAGCTTCTGGACCAGGGCTGGCGGGGCGACGCTTCCCGTTCAAGTTCAGGATATCTGGCTTCCAGTCGCGCAACTCATCACGCTGAGACGTGTACTCGCGCACAACTTGAATCTCGTCGTCATCATCCCAATCTTGAACGTACTCCGAAATAGATTCTGCAGCTGGAGAACATGTTGAAAAGCAGGAATCCTGAGACAAAAGGTAGACTCACCCTTGGAACTAAAGTCATCAAGCCAAGATTTGCACTCCGTAACCTCGGCAATGTCTATACTGCCACTCCACCCAGCAGCGTACACAGGAAAGACATCGTAGACCGACGCACCATGTGCAACTTGCAGCACCAAAGCCCATATACTGTCCTCGAGAGCTTCCAACGCTCTAGGCTTTCCAACGTTTCCGATTGCTTTAAATATCTGAAGAGGCACGATCAACAACAGTTTGCGCACAGGCACAGAGCAATCACGCACCTCAAACGCGTGTGCGAACGACGGCAGCGGAGACGAGTACAGGCGAGACTTGGCCAAAAGAAACAGGGGCGAATACATAATCATCAGGATACAGGGCTGGTAGATGTAACGCGCAGTCTTCCAATCCGCCTTCATATCTCTACAAGAACATGGTAAGAGGAAAGACCGGTTGAGATAATTAAATCATACTCTGGCATGCGACTTGCAATATCTTTGAGGCGAAAGTCTTCAACGCCCTCGCGTACATTCTAGACCCTCATTAGATTCACGCGTGCGAAAAAGAAAAAGAAAAAACTGACGCTTTGAATGTAGTTCACCACGAGCGCAGCAAGCTGAATGTTGACACACATCGCAACGTACTGGCTAGTGTCGTCGGCGTGCTTGACTTCTGGAAGGATCCGGTCGAACGCGCTCGTCAACGACATCTGATCAAAAAGAGTGAAGACCGCATCCAAAGAGAGGGCCTGCTTCTCGATCACGACTCGCGCAACGGCCTGCGCGTCCTCGACCTCCTGAGGAGACGACGTGTGCTTGACCCACACGGGAACGCGCCCAAACGATCCAGATGTTGCAACAGTTGAGCTCTGAGACGAAGAAGAGGCCGTGATTGCGGGAGCGGCAGGAGGGGTACTGCCGTCGTAGAAGCCATGGGCAGCCTTTACCAGCACGCATGTGTCCTTGACAGCAGCTTGCCAATCAAGTCGCATTGAAAGCCAGCCCTAATTCAATGAGATTCGGCATACCCAGAAAGCGAAAAAATCACGCACCGGAGTCAGGGAGCGACCGATAACGAGTAGACGGGCGGGTGACGGAGGTACCCGGTCAAACATGGGATCAACGACACCACGTAGTTTAGCCAGAATGTCAAAGTACCGAAGCAAAATAAGCCACTGGTGAGTATCAGTCCATCTGAGCCCTCCCCGTCCGTTGATTGCGATAAATTGATGAGGCGCGGGTGTGATATCATCATCCCCGAGACCAAAGCGACGAATGAGGAGCCGAATCTCCTTGTTCTTACGCCGATCCTTTCCAAGGGGAGCTTCTTTATAAATTGCAGACCGCTCCCACCAGTCGAGGTACCTGGCGAATTCCTGTGTATCGACATCAGAGTCAAGGTCATACAACACAGACCAAACGCATTACGAAGAGGAAGTCCCCATCTTCAGATACGGGATCCGTCGCGCTCGAGAGCCAGTCGTGAAGACTAGGCTGCTTGTATATGGCGGAAGAGTGAAACGGTAGGCGTGCCAGGAGCGAAGATAAACAGCGCAAAGCCAGTCGCTTAGTACGGAACTCCTCCGCTAGTTTTGTCACTTTGGCGTCCGCAAACACGTTTGAAGCGACATATGGAGATTTGCTTTGAGTCTTCTCGGAATTCGTGGGCGCCATGTCGATCAACGTAGAGTCGGAGATGAGGTCAAGAGACAAGGAGGCGGTTGCGCATCCACGCGCTAAAGTTAGAGCACGTGAGCGACGCACATTTTCCCACGCCCGCCGCGAGACGCTCTCGCTGCCGACGAGCGCCAATGCTCCATACATAGTTGCTACATATCCACGATAGAACCGTGGACCGGGACGGTATAATGACACGATGTGACCGTGGACCGGGATCCAGCTGGAC